TGTGGGATCTTCCGGGACCGGGGCACGAACCCGTGTCCCCTGCATCGGCAGGCGGACTCTCAACCCCTGCACCACCAAGGAAGCTCTGATTTTTTTTTAAAATAGATCTTTATTGGAGTATAATTGCTTCACAATACTGGGTTAGTTTCTGTTGTATAGCAAAGCAAATCAGCTGTACCTATACGTATATCCCCATATCCCCTCCCTCTTGCGTCTCCCTCCCACCCTCCCTATCCCACCCCTCTAGGTGGTCCCAAAGCACCGAGCTGGTCTCCCTGTGCTGTGGGGCTGCGTCCCACAAGCCATCTATGTTACATTCGGTAGCGTATACATGTCAATGCCATTCTCACTTTGCCCCAGCTTCCCCTCCCCCCGCCCTCGTGTCCTCACTTAAAGTGATGAAAGGGAAAACCTCTTATTGAAAGAAGTAACAATCTTTATAAAAGGCAGTAACACTTCGTGGGATTGTGCTCCTTGGGGTCTCGACCTCTGTTCTGGCCAGAGAATTCATGCCTGGATCCTTTCCCTTGAGAGGAGGGTGGTCTGGGCCCACCCCTGGTGACCCTGGGCAGCCCCTCTCTTCCTCCCCAGGTTGAGGCTTAGGATGGTGGGAGGGGTGTCTCTCGCGTGGCTGCCCTGTGGAGGGGGCGGCTCACCCACGGGTGAGGCACCCAGAGGGGTCCTGAGCAGCCAGGGCGGCTCCCCGGCCCTCCGCTCCGAGGGCCCTGCTTCACCAGTTCCTGTGCAAGCTGCTGGGGCTTTATTCAGGCCAGAAAAGCCACCGGGAGGGACCCTGACTCCTGGAGCTGGCAGGGCCTTTGGGGGGTCATTATAGGCACAGGGGCTGAGACTTGCTGACCCAAGGGGTCTGGCCCACAAATGATTGGGTGCTGCCTCCTGCCCACAACTCCTCCGCTGGCTGGGAGGTCAGCACCTGCTCCTGCCACTGAAGGTGAGGTATTGGTTCAGTACCCCCTTCCTATCCCTGCCCTGAGACAGGTGCCGAGTTCCTGGAGGGCAGGGTCCCTGACTCAGCGCCACCCCTCACAGGCAGCCTGGCAGGGGCTGGGGCCCGCCAGGTGAGGTGCTGTGAGCCCGGCCACTCTCGGCAACATCTGGCCCTGCCAACTTGCCCAGGAACTGGGGCCTCGGGACACCTGCCCCTTAAGCCGCCTGAGCTGTCCCACTGGCCTGTACCCGTGCCTCTCCTGTGCAGTGGCAGCTCTGCTAACTGAGGTGGGCGCATTCCGAGAGGTTGGGGGTCCCAGGTGGTGATGGTGGGGAGGGTCCCTTCTCCGGTCCCACCTTCTGGCCTTGGATCCGCCGTGTCCCCCAGGAATGGGCTTGACTCCTCACTCCCAGGCTGGGCAGGCACTCAAGGACAGGGTGTGGGTGGAGGCCAGCCATTCTGTCCCCACGGAGACCTCGAGAAGGGAGCCGGGGCTTCCTGCAGCCCCTGGTTCCGGACTGGGAATCGGAGCACCTGGGCTCAGGTCTCGCCTCTGCTCGGACCAACTGTGTGCCCTGGACGAGTCCTAGCTGGTCCCTGCGGAGGGTGGATGGGTGGTGGGCGTGCACTGGGCCTGGGGCACCGTCCGTTCCCGCTGCTGCCGGCGAGGTCAGGGTAGCCTGCCTGCGGGAGCCCTGAAGCCCCCTTGCGCCCTGCATACACGGTGAACGCGCTTCCCCCCCGAACTGGATCGGGAACAGGCCTGGGCCTGTGGGTCTGAGGGGGTCCCTCTGGGCTTCAGCCTGGGGCTCCGGCTGGCGGCCCGGTCAGCAGCCCCCATCCCCAGTGCTCGGCTGCCCCAGGCCGCTGCACAGCTGCTCTGCTGAAAGCACTGCCCAAGGTCACTGTGACCTCTGAGGGCTAAAGCCAACAGCCGCTCCTCCGGCTCTGTCCCGTGGGTGGGCGTCAACCTCCATCTCCTCTCCCAGCTCCCCCTGCCCCCCACAAGGCCCGGAGGTTTGTGTCTTCCCAGCCACCCGCCCTCCCCAGGCTCTCGGCCCTGGGCTGTAAACGCCTCTGAGTGCCCATGACTGACTCCATGGTTATTTTTACATCTTCAGACGCGTGTGTCCAGCTGCCTGCGTGCACGCCGCCTGGCGTCTGATGGGCCTCTCAGGCTCACGTGTCCGGGACTGAACCCCAACCCCGCCCCCTGCCCCCGGCCCCGCACCCCCTCCCCAGGTGCCCCCCTCCCCAATCCGGCATCGCCCTCCTCTTCCTTCCCCTCACCCCATCATCCACCCACCAAGAGGTCCCATGAGTTAGCGCTGCCCCCCGCAGAGGGAAGGCCCCTCCCGCTGTCACCATGGTTACTGCAGAGCCTAGCTTTGGGCCCCCTTTCCTCTGCTCGGCCTAGGCCAGCAGCTCCTCTGGCTTGGACAGCTGCAGGGGCCTGGAGCTTTGCTGTCA